TTATAATGTGTCCACTGGTAAGATTCTCAAGTCTTCATATTAATAACTAATGTATAGTTGCAGCAAAGATCAAAGGCCTAACAGTTGTGATAAAACCCACAGAACACTCCCACCAATACCGCAGTGTGATATTATAAATAGCACACTCGTTTATTTAATGTGCAGCAGTGTGATATCAGTGATAGCAGAGCACGTGCAATCTTTGCTGGAACTATACACTAAAACAATTAATACATGTGGCATTGTGTGCTATCTGATTTATCCGTACTCGCTTCCGGTCTCGTCGCTAAAATAGCGCACGAGGCCAAAGGCCGAGTGCGCTATTTTTAGCGACTCGACCGGAAGCTCGTGCGGATAAATCAGATAGAACACGCCGCCCCATGTATTAACTATTACATAGCTTTATACATGTATACTTTTTATTGATTTATAATAAGTAAGTGTAATACATAATTTTGTCTTTTTGATAAAAATTTACAGATTGTACATGTACTGTACATACAATGATATTAAATTTTACTAATATGCATTATGCATTGTACTTTATATTGTTAACATGTATTGATAGATGATCACTGTATTCTCTTCACTTTAGGACAATTCACTGTTCCATCTGTCAGTGGACAGTGTTGCCCACCAACTAGTAGTTTCATAATTGAGAAGATTACTACTACCGGTAACAGAGGAGTAATGTTTGGGGGTGTGGGGACTGTTAATGGTGATGAGAGTACAGCTACTAACAGTGTTTACATATTTAGTGTGACACATAGTATAATAGTAAGTTCTATTATATTTTGTTGTATTGTATTGTACAGTATAGAGATGTCCTGATAATCAGATCAGCATATCGGATATCAGCTTATCAGCCTGTTTTTATAGTATCAGTTATTGGTTTTTTTGCATGCATCTTGCAGATATAGCAACATATGGCCATATGCATGAGAGTAAAGGGTTAATTACTTAATTTTAAGGCAATTATTTGATACAATAAATGTCAATATGATTCTGTAACTGTGACTACTTGAAAATTAGTCAAGATAATAAAATGGGAAGTTTTTAAATCACACATCACATGCATAAGTCTGTGCCTAAAAGGGTAGGAAGGAAAATATTGGATCGGTATTGGTATCGGCCAGTAATGGCTATGACAATATCGGCATATCGGAATATCGGCTAAAACCCATATCGGTACATCTCTAGTACAGTATAACAAATCCATTGGTACACAATATACTTGATAATATGAAATACCATACTAAGCATGACTATACACTGTCTACTGTGTAGCGGCGTTTTTTTAGGATAACAAATTTCGCAAATTTTGCGGATATTTAAGATTTGGAAAATGAAATTCATTGAAAATCAATTTATTTGATACTATACATAAAATATTTTCATAATTAGACAGTGTATAGTCATGCTTAGTATGGTATTTCATATTATCAAGTATATTGTGTACCAATAGATTTGTTATACCTCCAGTACTTGTACATGTATAATACTAAACACAACCACTAACCTCACCTCATTAACATCAAAGTATTAAATATTAGGATTAATTTTTACATGTCACACCCATTATTTGTATAGCCACACCCATTATTCATATTTACGCTGAGTGATATTATTAGTATTTGTTTATGTATCTAGAACTGGGAGATACTGAAACCAGGAGCAATACCTAATGAGGAACTGTGGCCTATGGAGAGGGCCTCTCATGCTAGTGCTATTATCAATGTTGACTCTACCTTACCTACACTAGTAGTGATTGGTGGAGTGGATAAGAATAATGAACTAGTTAATGAATGTTTATTATTTGATAGTATCACTACTGGTCAGTACAGTTGTAGGAAGGTATGTGTGTGTATAGTACTGTAATGATGTGTGTGTGTGTATAGTTAGGTCAGTTGAGAGTATGACACTAGTACTGATGTATATTGATGATAGATTAGTAATTGTTAGTGTGTTCAGTAGATAACACTATCACTGATGAAACATAAACAATACAATAGAACCACCCACACATTTGATTAAAAATTTATTTTACAATTACAATAAATGTAACGATCATTTACATATGAAATGATACAATTTCTCATTTTTATAAGTAACTGTATAAACATCATGTATCAGTAATTACTTGTATACTTCTCTTTATCTACAGATTCCTCTACCTGAATCTGTTACTGGTAGATACAGTCACTCACTCACAGCAGTCACAATGTCACCACACTGTGTGTGGCTAGTAATTGTTGGAGGATGTATAGAGTTGAGTATGAAAGATGTTGGAAGAGGAAAGAAGGTGCCATGGACTATACCAATCACTGATACTAATAGACTAATAATGGTAATTGAATTAGGTAAGATAATATTAATCAATTGTAAATATATATGAGCATGAAATGCCGTATTTGCTCGATTAAATGCCCGGGCGTTTATTTCTTAACAGGGAAAAAATTCAAGTGAAAAAAACAAAAAGCCCATAGAGGATTCAAACCCCCAACCTCCTAGCGTTCCAAACTGTACTTCAACAGTTAGGCCATCTGGGACAATCTAAATCCTAGGGCACATATACTGGCTAAAATATGCGTATCTATACTCAGAAAATATTTGTCATGGGCGTTTATTTGAGCAGGTCGTTTATTCGAGCAAATACGGTACATAATTACATAAAATAATGTGCCACTCATTTTTATAGTATGTACATGTACATTATTTGTAAATTTCAGTTCCTAATATGACGTACATTTTCCATTCATTTTGTATACTGTACACACTACAATACCACTGTATGTGTGGGTGTGTATTTACAACCACTATAAATGATACCATTAGTTTATAAATTAAATACATTTATTTATAAATATATAATGTATCTTATTGTGTCTCAGTATATAGTGAAGCTGGTGAGTGGATAGTACAGTCAGTACTGGATGGTAATGATCTCACTAGTAAGAACTATCAAGAAAAGTATCAATCGTACAGCAAGACCAGAACATGGTGGATGGATCAGCTAATAGAATATCCGACAGAGAGGGAAATGAAGCTTCAGAGATATATACAATCTTTACATGAAGACCTACAAGTGGCTCATGAGAACAAAGTATCACTACAGGAGGCACTGGTTGAGGCCAATAAACAAGGTATATAGGATACTACACACACACACACACTTTAACTGTACTAACTGATTACTATTATGCAGTATTGTGTGGTTATTGGTAGTGTGAGTGTGTGTATTAGTACTGGTTTAGATTATGATAGTAGTGGATTAGACAATGTTGAGTATGGAAATAGTATCCTGTACTCAATAAACAGGCTCAAATTGTGGATGCATTAGAAATAATAAGATTCATGTAGAGTGAGCTCTGCTTACCATGGTATAATTAGCAATAATCATAGTACATGTATTTATGGGCTACTGTACATGCAGTGCTATGATCACATCAGTACATGTATTGCTTATGGGAAATATTGCAATAATACAAATTTATACATTATATGTGACCATAATTGACAAAAGGTACCTTATGGCGGGTAGTGAAATTGGTCTTTCTAGCCTAAGAAATCCAACTTCCTGAGCCCCATTCATCATAAAATTACTCCACAGGATGCAAAAAGTTACCATGAAACTTTTAGAAACAATGATTGTCCAACAAAGCACTCACAGGTTGATATTTTCCATTATAATGATCAATTTTAAAATCCGCCATAAGGGCCCTTTTGTCAATTATGGTCACATATGTTTGTTATTCTACTGGCTTATTATTATTAATTAATCTCATCTTGATTAATTATATGCAGTTAAAGGTGATGATGGCTCTGATATGATTAGTAAATTGAAAATTATGACAGAATTACAAGAAAAGTTGATTCAAGAGAACCAGATTATTGCTGGTCAGTATAATATTTGATGAGAAAATTAATATATTCTATTCATGTAGAAGATAATCAGAAAATTAGAGCTACAATTGCTTACAATGAAGTTTATATAACCGAAGTAGAAGAAGAGAAGAAAAGGATAGAAGAAGAGAAAAGAAAAGTAGAGGAACAATATCTTAAAGAGAAACTCGTCACTAAAGGTTAGATAATTGTTATCATGTATATACGTTATGACTTAGCAAAATATCATAGAACTAAAAGCTAAAGTTGTCATTAATGAAGTATCTGCAACTCAAATAGAGCAAGAGAAGGAGCTATTAGAAGAAAAATATCTCAAGGAGAGAGAGATTACCAAAAGTTAGAGCATTGTCATTAATGCATGTATGTTAAAAAAGAGATGAATTAGAACTTAAAAAAGAAGCTGAGTTGTATGCAACCAAACTAACAAAGGAGAATTTACAACTACAAGATATTTCTGAGAAAAACAAAGTTATAGCCAAACTGACATCACAAGTAGAGGAACAATCACAGAATGAGAAACAGATCATTACTGGTTAGTGTATCGTCATCAATCAGTAATAATTATTAATATTCTATTAATTTATAGACCTTAAAGAAAAGGACTTGCACATAGCCAAACTATTGAAGGAAAGACAAGAGAGAAGCAAAGTGACTAGTTCCATTGGATTACAATTTAATTACCTGATCCCTTCAATGGGTAAGAGTATTATTGTGTGACTGACTGAGTGTGTACAATTGTGTGTGTACTCACTGTATATATTTTGTATAATTGACAGATAAATTGGATTGTCTGAGTGATGTCCAGGTAGCAGAGAGGAAGCTGTTCTTAATTCAAGGAGACAAACCTCAACTGATGAATTGGGAGAAATATGGTCTAAGGATTGGAGTAGAAAAGGAGAGCTTACTGTCCTCTGAGACAGTAGAAGCAGCAGTGGTTGCTCTTGTAGGAGGAGAGTTCCAGTTTCCTGCTAATACTGTGCTAGTGAGTGCTGTGTATGCAGTATCACTCTCAAAGCCTCTCCTCAAACGGCTCATATTAGAAATACAGCACTGCGTTGATTTAACAGGACGATCAGCTCTTAGTCGTCATCTCAAGTTTGCCATAGCTCCCGTGAGCACACCCAGTCTTCCTTACCAGTTCTCCATAGTTGAGGGAGGAGAGTTTAGCTCTAATAGTTGGTATGGATCCATTGAGCG